TTTCACGTTCCAAATTTGTCAACTCGAGTAACGTACTCTGACTTACTCTTTCCGCCACTACTCCGGGTTCTTTAGAGTTACTCGGAGTGAATTTTGGAACGCACCCCAGGAGAGTCAACTCGGCGTAAAAGCGGTAGTGGGGGTGAGGCAAGAAGTGGAAACGAACGACACCCCCCACTCTTGCGCTTCATCCTCTCTGTTGCTCTACATAGTCGGTTTCAATTCGTGACTGCGCATGTCAACGTACCTTGTTTCTGTTTGATTGAATTTTGAACTAAACATAAACCGTAAAAATTTAATCCGATGTGATTTACGATGCCCAAGCGAGTGTGCTGTGTTCGAAATTGTGATTTCAATCCTGGAGATAAAGAAAATCGAAAAACAATATTCCAATTTTGTGAGGTATGTATTGATGAAATGTAATCTAGAGAAATGTACAAAAATCATGTTAAAAATTACTGTAATCATGTTCCAAAAGTTGTATACAATACAGGATTTGCCTATAAACAAGTTATAGCGTTCATTTAATGACCATCATGTGCAGTATAATTTCTTTTTACAACTTACATTCTGTTTTTTCTTCTTCTGCTGTTTTCTCCTTGATTGGATTTCCGAATTCTGTTTTATTTGCAAGTGACAATGTTACGTTAAGATTATAGCCACCAAGAAGACTAGAACTTCTTGGTTATAGCTCACAACCGATGCGCGCATGCGCAAACTTTGGGACGATGCTCAGTGAACTACTGAGCATCGTCCCCAAAAGGGTGGAAACGATGCGCAGTGAGCTACTGAGCATTGTCCTCAACAGGGGTTGGGGGTAAGCAGCGGGTGACGCTTTTTGACTCACCCCCACCACGCGAGTTGACTCTCCTGGTTCTAGTCTTCTTGCCGTAATCCATAATCCGCACTGGATGTCTGCAAAACTAGAACTCTCTTTTCACGTAGTTGCGTAAAAAGTTGAGTAAAAAGTTTTAGGGTGCTGTCACATACAGTCCACAATCCGCAATCCGCACTAGATGTCCGCGAAAGCATCTAGAGATTGCGTATGTACAGCAGATATTTTTCACTTAATCCGCAACTACATGAAAAGAGAGTTCTAGTGCACGTCAGAAAACAGACTATTTGTTGTATTTGCACTAATAACATATATCAAAGATTCATTATGCACTTCTAATTTCAAAATTGTTGTCAAACAAATTAATCACTATTTATAAATTAAAGGTAGATTATGGCACGTTTATTTTTGTTTGGCGTCGGAGTGCAATTGCGTTGCTTATATGCTCCTTGTGTCCCATGGAGCCGCAAAATGCGGACGTGTAAATGTAACATTTTTTATTTAAGAAGTTATACGGTTCATTTTTATTTTATTTTATAAGAAAATTACAGAATATATTTTGATTATAACAAAAGTTTTAATTAAATCGTCAAATTTAGTCAATAGATAAAATTAGGAAAAGCATTACTAGTAATAACTAGTAATTTTTACGGAAATTTCATGAGATTACGGCTCCATGGGACACAAGGAGGTAAAACACACGTAACGTTACGGACGCAATATCTAGTAACGTTTGCAGATATCCGGTGCGGATTACGGATTACGGGCTGTATGTGACGGCACCCTAAAACTTTTTAGGGTGCCGTCACATACAGTCCACAATCCGTAATCCGCACTGGATGTCCGCGAAAGCATCTAGGGATTAGTCGTAACCGTAAGACCGTAATCCAGTGTTGCCAAAACATAGATATGAGATCTATTCTAACCTGTTTGAACACATTGGCTGCG